TGCTGCCAAATTGGCGAAAAGCATTAAAAGAGCATTGGCAGGAGGTGCGTCCCTGAAAGCGCTGCTCGTATTATTTAAAGTTCCTGCTACGCACAAATTGTGAGTCATTGCTGCGCAGGTGACACGTATCAACAGTGCCTTGCGTTTGCGTTCATTGCATATCTAGAAGCCCGGCAGTACCTGGGATTGCCGACTAGTTGGTTGGTGTTAAGGGAAATGTGACTGCTGATTTTGTTGAAAAGGGTACGGGTAGCTGTGTGAATGCTTACGGATGTTGTAACCCGATTTTTGTTGCCTACATGTGATAATCTTGTCACGCCAAATTCTGGAACATAAGCACGTGCCAAGAAGGGGACACCGAAAGGCTGACTACAGGCTTGCTTTCTGAAGGTGAGTGTGCACTAAATTTTTTATGGTGATAAGGTGTCACTCATGCAAGCTGCTACGAGCAGAGCATTTTCAGAGGTTGAAATATGGAAGCATCATTGTTACAGTACATTGTGAAATGACAGGTCAGGCCTGTTTTTTGTGGGAAACCATTTGGACCAGTCAGCAAGTTATGGCAAACATGCTTGTGGGCTGCTGTGGTGTTACCATGCCATGTGATGATGCACTGTGCTTTTGATAAGTTTATTATTGTAGAATGTGTGGCAATGCACTCAACAGTCAAATTGACTAATCTCCATCCCTATGCTTGCCAAGCTGCCCCAACATAGGAGTTGGCCTAAGGCCTACTAACTAAGGCCTACTAACTAACTAACTAAGGCCAACTAAGGCCTACACATACACACAGAAACATACAGCACATGATCACAGGCCATGGTAAAATCACCACAGCACATTGACATGTTTTCTATTATTTTTGACCTGTCCAAATGGTTTTCCATAACAAACAGGGCTGGACTGTCATTTAAAAGTGTACTGGAAAAATGATGCCTCCATATTTCCACTGCTGAAAATGTACTGCTCGCAGTAGCATGAGCAGGGTGAAACCTACCATTGTCAATGTATGTTAAGTCATTAAATTGCATGTCATTCCATGGTGGCATGACCTGGGAACTTGAGGTGCCTGAGGGTATGATCCTGTAAAAATACAATGAAAATGCAAAAATGCTATAACAGCAAAGAAATGTAGAAAATAGCAGTTTTCTTCATAAGCCATAGTCCAGCCAATTGACCCAAGCTTTGTCACCAACCCAGCATATCATAGGTGGATGCCTTGGTTTCGCCCACTGCTGAGGCTGATGTGACCTTGACCAGAGTCGGTCAGTGCACCCAGCCGGCAAACGGGCGGTGGGATGAGCCATGTGACGTCGGACCATACGCCACCAGAGCCTGTATCCATTTTAAGTGGGATGCTTCCTGTAGGGGGTCTTTGGATGAATTTTTACCACTAAACCGACTTCGACCTGACCGAAAACCAAATCATGTACGCGCAAATCATGTTAGGCTAATTATTTCAATTCGTTGCAGCGACGTCAGCAGTTCAACGAGCTTTCCCCAAAACGGCGTAACCAGGGCTTTGGCATCGACGTCAGGTCCTAAATGGTGTAGGTCCTTAAGGTTTAAAGTTACGGAGTCCGTGTCACCGAACGTTTGAACGCCCCTCAAAAAGATGTGATGTCGCGCGCTCGGTCAGACATGGGATAATCGAGGGCGCCAAAAATGGCCAGGGGCCATGACGCGGCAAACTGACCCCAGCAGGGTTTTGGCCAGTAAGCGGTAAGAGCCTTTAATTCCTCTCACAGTTGTAACCTCACAGCACTCGCGGTCTTCTGATATGCCTGCGAGACCGTTGGGCGCCTGAGGAGCCCCGAGACAGTCACTCATAGGCCGATGGACGGGCAAGGCGAGACTCGTCGAGGCACGAACCAAACGGATGGGCACTGGTTCCAAAGAAGTGTTGCCAGAGGCTTGCAGTGTCTTTTTTCTTCAAGTTTTCAGTCTTTCCCCAATCTCTACGATATTGTCCGTCGTAACTGTCAGAGTATACACGTATTCGGCGGTGCTGCTATATCTGTCCACATGGAAGCAATTCCCTGCTGTGCGTGACTCCCTCACCGGAAAGCCATACGTGCTCAGAATCGTCAGATGTCCATTGCCCGTATGCATTATATGAACCTATACCATTTGCTCATTTTGGAAGACACTGGCTACCTGAAGACGATTTAAAATGCAACGTAACAGGTAAGTATTCTCGCTTATCATTATTTGGAATAACCATATGTATATATAATTACCATACGTACCATACCATACATAATAACGATACGTACATATGCCTATTAGTAATTTGTTAATGTTTGTCGGTACCAGTGTGAAAGGGAGTGTTCCACATTTATGTGAGGTTTTTGAAACTGAAATAGCCATCTTGAAGACCTTTCGGTGCTGTTCACAATTCGTACCATTTTTAAGACCTAAGGCCCTCAAGTTTCTGAGCTACACGTCCGCGAAAATGGGGAAAGGTGTATCGAAGAGTATTTCAAAGTGACCTTGGCGTTCATGACGTCACAATATTGTCATTCAGATCTGCCCATTCCATAAGCCATACGACGATCAAGGCGAAGAAAAACGTAATGTTCGTGGCGTTCATATTTGGCGTTCGTGAGCGCGATTTCCAGACATAACGGCCCTCGATTGGCTCTCAATCAATGTTGTGCAAGGGTACGATGTCGTAAACAAGCCATGGGTGCATTGAGGACTGTGTTTACTAAACAGAGAATTGTGCTGTCCATTTGCAGTCTGTTCCACCCACAAATTGTTATAAGTGAGCTTATCTTATCATATCTCAGGCTTGCTTTAATATCGTGAAATGTGAAGCAGTTCTGTTAAAGTATTCGTCTTATGAAGTAAAAGTACACCTACCCGACCACGGCGTCCCCTTGATCATCCAGTCCTCTTTGTCTGGTTGCGCAGTTAGGCCGGCAGTTTAACTGATTGCCTGCTGGACATTTCCATGTCTGCAAGTCCCACGATCGTTTCAGGACGTTCTCATATGGCAGAATCCTTTGCTGTCCCAAGGAGCCCTCCTGCCACCGGCCCGTTCGGTGTTTTCATGGCCTAGTGTAACAGTCTCTTGATCCCGGACTCACCTGACAGTCTGCTTGGCACACTGTGCTGCCTTGTCCTCTGATTGGTCCTCTGTGCTGCCTCGTTCTCTGATTGGCCCGCTGTGCCGCCTTGTCGTCTGATTGTGTCCAGGTCCCATTTCCACATGGTCAGCTTCCCGCTTCCACGGCCCCACCATCCGACTCGCTTCCCTGGCCCTATTTACCGTCTCAGTAGCTCAAGTTTGGAACTTGTTTAACAAGTTTGGAACATTTGGAACTTGCAGATTATTTGACAGCTACCGTGTGGGAGACACGATGGTGCGCAACCGAGAAATGTCGTCTGTGCCTACAAGTAAGAAGTTGGTAGCAGCTTGTGACATTATTACCCATCTGTCTCTTATGAATAGAGGCACATCCACGAGTATCTATTTTGGGTCTCATCCTTATAACCCTTTAAACAAAATGTTCATGGACAGCGCGTTAAATGGAGTACGCCGCGTTTATTCTGTTCAGACCAAAAGATAAGCGAACATGAAGCTATTATCCCGCGAATTCAGGGAAACCTTATGCTATGACTTTGGATCTCTGTCTTATGGCGTTTACCACGGATACTCTTTCGAGGCTCACTATGGCTTTGGCAATGGGAGTATCACGTGGTCCATGATGACACCGCACTGGTTCAAAGTTAACCAATGCGCCTCTCGATAACGGCCGTTGCCGCCGCTGGGCCAATCAGAGACGTGCTTTTATGCGCACCAGTAGAGATGCACGGCGGTTGTCATGACGAAAGTAGTCCCGGCAACTGGGAAGAAGTGTAGTGCTGTTACAAAACGTTGACAACGTAATTTGGACTCGAATATAATTATGATTGACAACCTTATTGTGGTCTGACGGGCTGCAATGGCAC